AGAATCCTGTAGGATCAAGGATTCAAATAAAGTTTATGTTTTTAAGTTTGTTTCAGTTTTTTTTTTCTTGTTTTTAATTTTATGTGCAGGGTCATGTCGAGTTATAAATCTATCTCTAATTAGTTTTTCTCTCATAAAGAAAATTCTATGTACAGAAAGATAAAGAAACTCATCTGTAATGGTGAGGCTTTGCAAAAAGCTTCAGCAGATATGACCTTTGCCCTTTGTTTATTTTAATAATAATAAAAATTTCATTTCGTACAAAAATGAGACAAATAAAATTTTATTTCAAGTAAGTAAATAATGTAAGGGTCAATTTGCTTTATAACCAAATAAATTATTAATTGAGCAAGTAACCAATTAACCTAAATTTAGTGGCCATGAATGTGTTACATAAGAGTTAATTGGCTAGTTACTTAACTAATAAAAAAATGGGAAAATTAAGAAAATAGTTCAGAAAAAAATTAAATTAAAAATATAGGCCATAAGTTTTAATATTCAATATATACACCACGATTGATTTTATTACCTTCAATCTATATATTGCAAAAAAGTTTTTCACTCACGTAAGTGTAATCTCACCTATATCTGGATCGTAAACCATCTCTAACAAAGCAATCACCGTGTATTTCCGCTTCCACTTTTAAAAAGAATGTATACTTGTTTCTTAAACTTGAAAACTCAATACTAAAAAATAGCAAACTCATTGAAAAAAAATAATGCATATCCAAAACCATTTACTAGAATGATAAATAACGCACCAAAAGAAGTTAAAATTGATTGAATATAATGACTTTGAATTTATAAATTCTTAGTCAATCATTTAAAATAAATAAGGCACCAAAATAACAAATTATTAAACAATAATAACTTGCCAAAAATTAAAATTGATCGAATAGCAAAATATAATGACTTCAAATATATAAGTTTTTAATCAAATATTTAAAATACATAACGTGCCAAAATAACTAATTGTTAAAAATTAAAGTAGACGCCAAAAATTTGAATTAACTGAATAACGAAATGTAATACCAATTATTAAACAAGAAATAACTTGCCAAAAGTTAAAATTGATTGAGTAGCAAAATATAACGACTTCAAATTTATAATTTTTTAATCAATCATTTAAAATAAANNANGNGCCAAAATAACTAATTGTTGAACAATAATTAGCGCGGCAAAAGTTTGAATTGACTGAATAACGAAATGTAATACCAATTATTAAATAATAAATAACTGCCAAAAATTAAAATTGATTGAGTAGCAAAATATAACGACTTCAAATTTATAATTTTTAAAGAGAAAATTTGTAAAAATATTCTCAAAATTTTATATATTTTGAAAAGTAAGCCATGTTCTAAATCTTTTGAAAATTAACCTTTCTACACTAAAAATTACCAAAATACCATAATCAATCTGATAACTTGTTTTTAATAATCAAAATTAAAAACGAAAATAGTCATCATTTTATTTTAATGTGCAATTTAAAATAAAAGTAACATAATTTTTAAAAATAATTAAAAAGAAACGTCATATGAAGTTAAATTTTTGAAACTTGATATGATGCTATTATTAGCCTTCTTGAAAGATGCTAATTTTTTTATTTATCAATTGTTTTACTAAACTCCATGATATATAAATCAAAGGGAAATTAGCACGAATAACCAACAAAAAAACTATAATTCAATAACTAACTAATTTCTTAAAATCTATGGCTTAGATTTTGCCACATATGCACTTTGTCTTAGTTATTGTATTATAAATTTTTTGTTGGTTATTCACTAAATTCACCCTAAATCAAAGTACTCTTTTATCATCATGTTGATTTCTTGAAAAAAAATCTTACAAGTGATAAGAAAAAGTATAGCGCGAACAACTTCAATTGAAATTGCCATGAATAGAATATGTAAAACCAAATGATTTAGCAAAAAAGAAGAAGAATATGTATAACCAAATGAAAAGCCAAATACAACAAAGTTTATTTTTCTAATATAGCCATGCCTACATTTATTAATTGGTTGATGAAGTTAAGAATATATTTTGGTAAATAAGTGTATATCTTTTTTTAATAATATCTTTATTTATCTAAATATAAATTAGTATTATAATTTTAGTAAGTTTCTTTAAAAG